ATGAATATTTATAGACACAATACAACATTTTTTTTTCTATTTTAGATGTTTTTGAATAGTATAATCTGTACCAATGCATCATGCTTTACAAACATAATAAATCTTGTCGGTAAAATCTTCACCTGTAAAGTAATTAGTAACTAATTTAGTAAAGGAAAAAGTACAATATTGTATATACAGCATGAAATGGAAGAACTCAAATAAGAATTTCAAACAATTTCAAAACTGTCAACAAGTACAGTATTTGAGTAATTGTACTTTGTTACATTCCTCCACTTAACTGGAATGATAAGATGTTGAGTCAGCAGCATGTTGAGCCTGTTCAAGGATTACTTTAATAAATTGGAAGAAAACGGCTAGCCATAGTCCCATTATTTTGGTTTTTATTTGCCATTAGAAAATCAATACTACTGAGATTTTTGCCACCACCATCCTAAAACTGAAATGAGAGCCATGTAGCTATTGCAACATAGCTTCATTAAAACAGATGTTGGCACTTATTTTGTTGAATGTGACACGTTCAGCTCTGTTCTACTGAGTAGACATGGAAAGGTGTGGACTTCATCTGTGCAGGATTTAATGGCAGAAATGTCAGCAGTGGAGCTCTGAGAATCTCCCCAGATTAAACTCAGACTGTCTGCAGGGATGAATACCATACGGATGAAGTAGTGTTTTGGGGGTGATTAGGGTGAATTGACCCTTTAATTCAAATGTCTGGAACTAATTATGCAGCACAACAATTGCAATTACGTTGAGCAGCATTTAGGGTGTCCTGGTTTAGTCACACTTTATTGTGAGCACACTAAAATAGCACTGCATCCTTTTTTAAATACCCTTTTGTAGTAAAGATGTAAAGTCATATGAACACATTATACAAACTGATGCTACCAGCTAATTATCGCCATCCTCCTGTGAAGGTGTAGCTACACTGGAACCTGATGTAAGTCGTCTCCAGCTGACTGTCAGTCTGGACACTCTGCTCCATCCAGGTTGAAGCTTTAGTGAGGAAACATTGGCAGGACACTACTCCTTGGCTAAGTATGGCTGACAGCCGCTTCCTCTGTGTGGCCAGAGGGTCACTCTGGGTGACATGCTGTTCTGGGGGACACTGTGTCTCTGCCTGCAGAGGCGATTAGAGGGGTGAGCTGACCTCGTTCTCAGAGGGGCTGATGTGTTTTATGTAAACACTTGGTGCAAGACAAAAACACAGGCTACAAACACAGGCCAACCCTCGGGCGGTGATCCCATTGTTTCCCCATTACTCCTGAACAGGCATGAGAGAGGAGAGCCGTCACTCTGTGTTCCAGAGCTGCAGGGAGTCCTCGAGCTCTTCGTGGCACCGAGTCTCTCCTGAATGCATCACACACAGCCAGGTCATGCCCTGAGAGCTGTCCGCAGGCCACTGCCATTACCTTAACAGAGCTAAACACGTCGCTACCTGGGCTTACCTAATATCACCATTATTAGGTGTCCACAGGAGCATAGGGATGGATAAATAGAACTTTATGTAGCAGCTGGAAACACAAGAAATCTATGTTACAGCAGATCTTAACAAGAATAACTGCAAGAAACATGCAAAAAGTAGACCTGAGGTGACCTCTGACTTCTGATATCAACATCTTAAAGCTTCTGATCTGCATACTGGTGTAACACAAGTTACAGGTAATATGATGATGATATTGTCAGGGACTCCTCACACCCTCTCCATAAACTGTTTGAACTGCTACCATCAGGCAGCAAACGTTTCTGGAGCATTAGAGGAAGAATCTCCAGAATGATCAACAGCTTCATTCCACAAGCTGTCAGAATGTTGAACTGCTGATCTAGATATGCAAACACTTATTTAAATTGCTTTAAGTTACTGGATCCTGAAGAAACACTCTCTCATCTTGCCTGTACTACTGTGTATGTACAGAAAAATGACAATAAAGTTGATTTGAATTTGAATAGTAACTGGCCGAATTGCGTGACTCTCAGAAGTCTGGTTTTAGTTAAGTGGTCTTTTCTGAAGATACAATCTGGAATCTTGGTCAGTAAACATGAGGGACTTGCAGCTACAAAGCCTTTTCTTTTCTCGCGTTTGGCATATTTATCACAAAATGTAGCTGAACATTATCACTCTGCGTGTCTGTTTTAAAAGACAGGGATTAACTTTATTGGTCAGGAACATGAGGTGATGTGCAGAGATCAGAGAGTCACATCCTGAACAGCTGCTGCATCACAACTGCAGAGTGAAGTAATCCAACAAAACTAGTATCCACTCAGCAGGCACACATTTAATGCACTGAAGGGCTTCAGTTCACAGCTACTTTCTTTATGGATCGATTTGCTGATTTTGATTAAATAACAGAAAATAGTAAAATAGGTCCATAGTGAAGCTGTCACATTGCTTGGTTTTACAAACCTAAAAAGTAAAACAACAACAAAACCTCACATTTGAGAATACGGGACTACGTGTAAATGTTTGTCATTTTGGTTGAACAAATTAGGGAGGTTATAAATTAAATTGTGCTGCTCATTGATTAAGCAACAAATCAGCTCCAAGGTGTTTCTGTTAATTTACTCAATACTTGGCTGCTGGTCCCTTTTCCTGCGCATGGGCACTGGGCACATCATCATCATCATCATCATCGCAGTCAGCAATACCAACTTGTCAAAAAGTTTGAGCCCACCCTCCCTCTCCCCCGCAGAGTTCCTCGACGTTTCCAGATCACAACCCCGCGGGCTTTAGGACCTACAGGATCTGCTTTCTGAGGATGCTCTTGTTTTTGTCCGTTACGTTCATGCATGTAATCATTGATTGTGCCTATTGTGACAGGCCGATTTACCATCTGTAGGCTCCCATGGGGCTGATACTGCTGTCACTGCAGTCTCCCTGCAGACTTTAAGGAATTCCCCTTTAATTTCCGGCCGCAATTTAATCTCAGACTGGTTTCACACTTAAGCCTGGTATTAAAAGACCACACCTGCTTGCTCGTACGTCGCTCCATCACTGGTGCATTCACGGCGACTCGGGAGTTTCTGTTTTTGTGTGTCATGAATGATGTTATATTTAATTGTAAAACGATTTAAAGTGAGACATTAGAAGGGTATTAGTGTAACTTTTGGCTTGTTTGTGGCGCCTTTGAGGTCTGTTAGGTCCTCTGGAGGTCCCTGAATGTGCCAGACATTTATTTTTCCGAGAAACTGTGGGGAAAGTAAATTAATGCTTTAATACTATTGGTTCTTTTTGTCACAAATTCTGATCTGCATGATAAAAAGTTAGATATCCCTACAAATCACGTCAAAAATGATCACACAGGCTACTTGTTTAAGTTCCCACCCCATGTGCACAGAACTCAAATGACAGTCTATAGTGTATCTAAAATATGCTTTATCTTTAGTGAGATGTGTTGCAACCATTCAAGACACAACTCTCATGCCAAAGTTGGGGTTTTTTTTCCCCTTCCTTTTTTTTTTTTTCTAAAGTGGACCTGCTCTCCAGACGAGTGTGGGTTTTTGCCGCCTCCTGCTCCAGCCCACCCGGCCCCCTGCCCTCCCTGCCCGCCTCCCCGGCTCTTTTTTCCCACTGCTGAGAGGAGCAGGACGCGGCCACAGCGGCGGGAAGCAAATTATCTACAAGCACTTCCCTTAAAAAAAAAAAAAAAAAAAAAGTTCACACTCACATACACAGATGCCACCACAAGTAGCGACTCACAACGTCTTAGAGCTGAACGAGGGAGTAACTGGGAATAACCTGGCAGGAGGACAGGTGGAGCAGGATGGATATTTAATCATTATTCTTATTTTTTGTGTTTCTTTTTTCCCCCCCTGTTGCTTCTATTGTGATAAGTTTGGATCAGCTGTTTTTTAAAAAATAACTATTTTGTCGAACCAAATATCCCGAACAGGACTGAGGCCTGAATTGGTGTATTTTGTGTTTTTATTAAAAAAGAAGCACCTGTGCGCCACTGGAGCAACAAGAGGGGAACTTACATCCATCGTCTCATCTGCTTAACAATCAGCCAATAAGAAGACGAAGGTGTCCTGACGGAGTATGGCCTAACTTTTAACGCAGGGAACGTGCGTTTGGCTGCTGGTGGATGTAGGTGCAGGAGGCGCACCAAGAGCGCGTAAAGTTCCCACAAACTGAGAGAAAATAAAACCTCGCCGCTTCAACTCTTGGATGTTGTCGGGGCCGGCGCTGACAGTCACTGCATTAACAACAGCTGTCAAACTCATGGGACCCTCCTGCCCCCCGGGCCACTCGGAGCTCCGCTGAGGTCTCCACTGCGCATGTCAGAGCGCTGGACAGCTCCAGAGAGGGAAATTTAAAAACGGTTTTTTGGAGAATCAAGTGCAGCACAGAGAAATACAGTACAGGAGCTCACGACCGGCTCTCACCTTCTTCAATATCAACCAAAACAGGTGAATTTTTTTATGACTTCTCTTCTTCAGCATCAGGCCGTTTAATCGGATTGTTACTGTTGTTGAGCCAGTTGTCATTTAAACGATTTTTAACGAGAACTTCTCTGCAGGCAGGCTGAAGGATAAGACATTTAAAACTAGGCTGGCTGACAAAATGTGACCAAACGCTGATGTTTATGCCTTATTAATATTATCAATGTTATTTTATTTCTGCAGGCTGTTCTTTGTATTTGAATTCGTGAGAGAGGAACAAAAAGCACTCAAACAACAAAATGAGCTCCAACAAAAGGCACCGAGATGCCAAATAGAAATGTTATGAGCTTGTTTTTTCTTGTATCAAGTTTTTGTTTAACCTCAAATTTAAGTTTAAAATGCTTTTGCTTTTAATGAAGCAATTTAACTTTTTTTTTTTTAAATCACATGTTGTTCCACCGCTTGCTCAGAGGACACTATCTGAAGTTATATTATGCATATTGTAATAACTATTATCCGCATCGCTTGTTTATTTCAGTTTGAAGTATAAGTGAGGATGCATATTTAAAGTGTGTGACTTTTTATGTGTTTGTGTACAGCAGCACTACACATCCCAGGAAATGATAGAAGGTGGAATAACTTCCAGGATGTCAGGAATAATTGAGAATGCAGGGCATCATCCGTCTCCACAGGACTACAGGTAAGACTTCTGATTGAAACCACATTCGGCTACATTAGGATAAACTCTCAGAGAACATTCTAGCAGTAAACAATGTGCTATTTTCTTGTTACACGTTGCCAAAAACACTCATCTCTGAGATGCCTCGATACTTAAAAGGCATATTTTTTATGAATAAACCCTTTAAGATGTTTTTACTAAATGGAACAAACTGTCTCACCCACTATGTTTAATCTTAATGGTAGATGGACAGCTCTTTTTGTGCCTGGGGGGTTGCATGAAAAAGGAGAGAGGAGAAGAAAAAAAAAAACCTGAAGAATAAATGATTTTCAGTCTGAATGGATCTGTCAGAAACCATCAGCTCTGTTTACACTCCCGCTGTCGGCGCACGGAGAGCCTGAGCCTCTTGGCTTGCCAGCTCAGGGGGAGACGGGGCGCTCTGGGTCACCAGCATGCACAAGTGGCTCCCAATTAGAAAAGGAGGGAGGAAGGGAAGGGGAGGGGAGGAGGCACAATATTTAGTGTTGTTGAACTTCTGGAAAAACTTGGATGATACACGGAGACACCAGCTCAACATGTTTTGCATCAGTGAGCAATTTCTATGCTCTGCTAGGGAGAGAGGAGGGGAGGTGAGAAAGCCCCCTTGTGTGTCGTCTATTCACTGGTTTCTATCACTGGGATCTCTGCATTTATAATAGATGATTGCAATCTTGAATGGATTTGTCAAACAAAAGTGCTAAAGACCAGCTACACACACACACAAGACTTCTGGTGCATTTCGAGTATATGTACAAATTGGCTTTTGTGTGCAAAACAAAAAAGAAAAAGCGGCTGCAGTTATACTTTTGTGGCACCTCAACATTCATGTCTCTTGAGATTGTTCTACATGTTTTTTTTGTAAGAAGTAAAAGAAAAGTCACAGGAGAGATTGAAATTACAACAAAAGTCCCTCTCTTGAAGTTCGGTAAACTAACTTCAAAGCTCCAACACGGACAATGTGATGCACATGCATGTTGGAGGACGTGTGCTGCTGATTCCTGGCTGCAATGATGTCACTTATTCAGACGGCCGACACAGAGCCCTGACCTCAAACTACGTTTTCACCCCCTCTGGCCCGGGGCTCCGTTGATTTTCCCCGTTAAAGGAGGGGGACAGGGGGATGATGGAGGAGGAGGAGGAGTGGGAGGGCGGTGGCTGGAAAGGGACAGGGAAGCAGATGGCATCCTATTTGTCCCTCTTATGTGAGGCCTGTCATTCCAACAGATTAATGCAAGGGTCGGGTAAAGAAAAGAAATGACAGAGACAATCAAGGAAGGGTCTGGGGAAGACAATAGAGCCACGTGCCACTGGGCAGATTTGTCGTTTGGGACACAATAGGTGATCATTTTTCAATAGACAAGGCCAACTGTTGCAGGCAACATGTGCTGCTGTCCCATGTTTCAAACGATCTTATGCGTTGTTTACTTATGATTCAGCCAATGGGTAGGGCGAGACCGTGGTCACCTGACACAGGGTTGATTTTTTATTAGGAGATTTGGTGTGTGTGCGTGGGGGGGGTTGTACTCCTGCACTGTCCACAGACCCACAAAGTAACTGAATTGTATGTGTTGTCATAGCGACCCCAATTACGAAGCCCTTGCACAGTGAGTGTGTGTGCAGAGAAGACTGGAGAGGATTCAAGAGGATTCCTCTCTTTCTTTCTTTCCCCACGAGGCTCGCCTCATAAAAGACATAATAACTGAAAGTTGATTTGTGCTGGCAGTGCACCGGTTAAACAGAAATCCTGCCTTCAATTCGGGGTTTTTTGGTTCAATTTTGTTTTTATTTTTTTTGCTCAAAAATATGTTACATAAATTAAATTAACTATTTTATCTTCATAACATTCATAACAGAAAAGAAGAAGCAAAAAATCAGTGTGCCACTCTAGTAAAAAAAACAACAGCACACATGTCAACAGATGATTTACTCTGAATGAAAAGCTTATTTAACTCTCTCATTGTTGATTAAAACTGTCACTGCTAAATAACACTTGTGGATAATCTTCTTATGGTAAATCCTGGATGGCTAATACACAGCTTCACTGGGCAGCTTTCATCTCTGTTTCTCCACATTCACACTCATTACACTGCTTTTGACTTTGAAGGACAAAATGTTCTGTCGAGTGTTTAGATTTAAATTCCACTTGTGATCTACATGCATCGAGCCGACAGCCGTGTTAACCCAGTAAACCTCCTCCTCCTCCCCCCCATCCCCTCCTTTCCTGCAGGCTTCTGACCACGGACCCCTCCCAGCTGAGGGAGGAGGACCTCCCTGGGGACCTGCAGTCTCTGTCATGGCTCACCTCTGTGGATGTGCCCCGGCTACAGCAGATGGCTGATAGCAGAGGCCACAGCAACGGGCCCTCCCAGGGCAGCTTGCTGGAGCAACAGACAGGTGAGGTGACAGGGAGGGGACAGAGCAAAATTCAAAAACGGCAGCAACTCTCTGATTGGACAAAGCAGGACTGCTGGATTGATTTGGATTTTTAGATATAAGCAGATTTAGAGGACTGTCCTGGAAGATAAAGGTCAAATGGGATTTGTTTCCTGCACTAAAAACACACTCTGAGATTAAATGATTTTAATAGTTTTGATTTAAACTGATAAAGTTCAACTGTGTGCAACGAATTATGCTTAAAAAAATTAGAAGCCTATGTTTTCACACATAATAACACAGTTACTAACAGGAGTAATCCACAGACCTCAGAGGGAACTGTTTGACTTAGAACATCTGCTAGTGAACTATTTGTCACAGTGAAGGAGTCTGTAAATGTCATATGTGTCTCACTGTTTAAAAAAATAAAATAGTTCCGATGTAGAATTTGTGAAGCAATAATCAACACATACCAAATGCTATCCAGTCTTATTCTACAAGACAAATGCCACAGTCAGTGTCTTCAGGACAAAAAACTAAATACACCACCAATACTTCGATGAGTAGAAAGCATTGAAAGTGAGAAAATAATGTTTGTCTGTTGGTCTTTCCAGCTCAGCTGAGCAGCATGACGATGTCCGCCAGTCAGGGCTCCATGCTCCACCTCCAGAGTAACATGCAGCACAGCCCTCTGGGAATCAGCATCATCAACACCCACAGTGGAAGTGTAAGTTTTTACAGAACTGCAAGAAGAAGCATCTTTCATATTCTATGATGCTGAGTGTAACGTAGGATTTGTTTCACAGATGTCTCCATTCTCCATGAATGGGATGCCCTCTCCAGGATACCAGTGCCCTACCTCAGTCTACCAGCCGACACCCCAGCAGGTGTACTCTCTAACCCAAACTGGACAACAGGTAATTCACTTCAAGCTAAAGAAGATTTTATGAGTGGAGAAATGGTGAAGGATAAGGTCCTCATTATGTTCTCTTTTCTTTCTTAGTGTTCAACTGGTGGACTTTATAGCAATGTCTCTTTCAACAACCAAAGTCTATTCACGCAACCTCGCCTGGCTCCACAAGACCAGGAGCTGCAGCCCAAGTCTTTCCCGAAGCCAATCTACTCCTACAGGTCAGCACACAAACACTCCTCTAAAAAACAAAACATCCACCTGAATTTTCTCCTTTTTCATGTTTCACCTAATTGGCACAATATTTTTTTCTCAGCTGTTTGATTGCCATGGCTCTGAAGAACAGCAAAACTGGCAGCCTCCCAGTCAGCGAGATCTATAGCTTTATGAAGGAACACTTTCCTTATTTTAAGGTATGATGCTCTGTTCATATTACAGGGAAAAGGCTGAGTGCATGTATATAAGGAATGTGACTAATTATACATGACCTCTTTGCCTGCAGACCGCACCTGATGGATGGAAGAATTCCGTCAGACACAACCTCTCCTTAAACAAATGCTTTGAGAAGGTGGAGAACAAGACAAGCAGCTCGTCCCGTAAGGGCTGTCTGTGGGCACTGAACCCTGCCAAAATTGACAAGATGGAGGAAGAGATGCAGAAGTGGAAGCGCAAGGACCTCCCAGCCATTCGCCGCAGCATGGCTAACCCTGGTCAGAATTTTATTTACTTAAATGTAAAAGGTCAATTAGCAAACAAGTCGTCAAAAACTGACAGCGACATATTTTTGCTCAGTCTGACAGCCTGTCTTCCTTCTTACAGATGAGTTGGACAAACTGATCACAGATCGCCCAGAGAACTGCAGACGGAAGGCTTTAGAGCCAGGAATGACCCGGCTGCCCAGCTGTCCGACCGGCCTCCCGCTGTCGGTCCCGGCCCAGATGCAGCCTCAGCCTATAGTCACTCTGTCCCTGCCGTGTTTACCGATGCACCAGCACCACCAGCTCCAGGCCCAGCTCCAGGCCCAGGCTCGACTGGGCCCCATGTCCCCCGCCCCGGCCCAGACGCCTCCCCTCCACACAGTCCCTGACCTCTCTCACAGTCCGCTCACCCAGCAGCCGGGCAAGCCTCCAGACGATTTCTACAGCGTGCACGGTGACACGCACACAGAGGTGGATGCACTGGACCCAAGCATCATGGACTTTGCCCTTCAAGGTAAACTCTTTTTTTCCTAAGTAACAAGTGTTTTTATTTGTTTGTTTACAAGATAAGCGCAGAGTTGTTGCATTGGTACACTCACACCTCCATCCATCTGCTCAGGTAATCTGTGGGAGGAGATGAAGGACGACAGCTTTAACCTGGATGCTTTGGGCACCTTCAGTAACTCACCCCTGCGACTATCAGACTGTGACTTGGGGACAGCGAACCTCCCTCCTGTCTCCAGCGGAGCGAACCTGCCGCTTTCAGACGTGCAGGTGACGGGGCTCTACACCTCCTACACTTCCCAGGATCCCCTGTCTTCCCAGTACATGGGCGCACCAACCAACAGCAAGCCCATCGCCCTGCTTTAAAGCAGCCAAACTGTTTCCAACAGAGTCAACATGATTCATCCAACTGTCTTTGGATATCTGTGGATGCCAACTGAAGAAGTCTGGTTTCTTTTGCGCTACTGGAGAACTACTTGGAGAAAAGTGTTTGCGAACCATTTCACATACAAGAAAACTGCTCATTAAGAACTGAAACTGCTGATAAATAACGAAACGGCTGTAAGAAACACTGTGTAAGACTTCAAGTATGTAGCTTTGCCAAGCAAAGACTCAAAGCCTGTATGAGTACAAAGACTCTATGTGGAGAATTATGTGTAAGTTAGCACCTGCCAGTTTTTCTACTGTTCACTCTGCGTTTTAAAGCCTTTCCATAATGTAGCTCCCCATCTCTTGTCTGTTGTATTGTGCTAGACATTATTGCTGTGATGTTTTATTTATATTTATAAAAGGCAGCTGGAGAAAGTGATGACTCTATCAATCTTTTGCTGTATATATTTGAATGTTTCAAATCGCTATCGCCACTGAAAAGCTTTCTTTTGACTGTATTTACCCACTTCATTCCAAAATGCAGGAGTGTGCCAACATGTCCAGCAATCCAGATTTTACACATCATCCCTCTACACACGGTGATTAACATGCCTCAGATGTATATTATGTTCATTATCTTGATCATAATAAAAATCAGTTGGGTAAATAAGAGAAGCTTCTTTATATTTAAATATATCAATGACATTTATTAACGAATAGCCCTTGGTAGAACACAAGACACAGGAAAAAAGTTTATATACATTCAAAAAAAGTAAAGTTATGGCTGATGTTTCTGGTGTTTCAGTCAGTGGTTAAGGCAAATCAACACATCCCTGCAGAAACCGTCTTCACTCTTTGTGAAACCTGAGTTGCTTGGTGTCGTTAAAATGTAGATAAAAGTGAAAGAAATGCTCACAAGTATCCCACACAGTGTCAAACTACCTTCTATCATTCATACCTTTGTCTTCAGCGCACGAAATAACAACACGGATAAAGTGACGATGAAACAGGTGGACTGACTTAAACGTCAACAGTGAAACAACAAATACTGCTCATTAGAAATCAGCTTATTAATGTGCATTTCTTACAATATTCATCAAAATTCCTATTTTTTTTCCAGATAGATTTGATTCATTTCAAGACTTTTTGGCTTTCGAGTTTTGATCAAATAATTGATCAGCTTTTTGAGCTAATTTCTACATTCAAAGACAAACACACATTCTCTATGTAATATCTTAAAACTAAATGTGATATTTAGCACCTAAATATCAAGTCTCCAATAATGAAGCTTGAATAACTTGTGAAATACGTAGAAAGACCACTCAGCAGAGCACATTTGATGACAGACAGTACCGTCCTTGTGCGTGTATTTTTACAATTACCCATACTAAAATCCCAAAATTCAATACTGTGCCTTTTGCTTGTCCACCTTTTAACACTACAGTGCTTCAGTACCAATACACTTTAACAGTAGCATCAACTAAAATATTTTCTTCTTAGTTTTCTTTAATAGAATAACTTCATAGAGTCCCACAGCTTAACTGGTGCTGGCGTTGTCCATAGTTGTGAGCAGATGTGACAGCTTGGCCCTCTGGGCCGGAGTGATGTTCTGGCTCATGTGGATGATGCAGTCCATGGCCACGTCAGGGTTGGCCTGCACCAGACTAGATACAGGGGAAAAAATAGAACAAGTTTAGTAGTGAAAAAGGTTGAGATAAACTATTTTTAGAGGCGAAAATGTGGAGACTGGCATGAATTTACAGTTAAGGTAGTGTATTCAGCTGTCAATTCTTTGTAGGTCATTCTGCAGTGGTTGATGAAAATATGACTCTCAGTAGCTTATCTTGTGATGTTTTTGATTGCCTAACACCATAATGACTCTATCACTGTTAAATTACTGTGCAAAACCCAGGATGCATCCTACTGAGACTTTCATATATGTTCTATGGAATATTTGATCTATTGGCTCAGTGAAGCTGCAATTCTACAGTAAGTTATATCTAAATATGACAAATTTGATGAAGCAGCTAACTAAGTTACCAAATTACACTACAGTGTAGGCCACGGATGTATAAGCTCACATTTCATATTCACTGAGATGTAGGACACTAAATATGCTATTAATGGTCCACAAAATGTGCTTGTGTCTGCTTACCTGCGAATGTGTTTTAGAGTGTTTTCTCTTTTCAAGTACTTGATGTTTTCTGTGATGGCTGATCGTGTACCGTCCTCTTTGGATAAATGCTTCTCAAGCCACTCGACTACTGCTTGGTTATTATCCCAGAGGTAAGCCTGGGAGAGCAGATACATATACTGTACTTTAAATCTCTGATCAGTTCAGTTTTTAAACATTGAAATGCTCAAAAGGACAGGAAACGAATCATTCAGAAACTTTCAGTCTTTCGGTTTGATTGACGGTGATGTTCACGGCAACACAGAAGGATTAAAAAAGAGCAACTCCACAACTTCACAGGTGTCATGGTAGAAAAATGATCAGTACTAGACAAATAAACATTACTCTGGTGCCCATAACATAAAAAACACATTTCGTCTTAGTTGTACTTTATAGCCATTTATTCACAATGTGTAAACTGTCAGTTGAACATGAGTAGAAGCACCGTTGTCACATACCTTGACCGTTCCCTCTGTTTCAACAAACCAGCGGCGCAGCATTGACTGCATGTGTCCATCACTGAGATCCTTGTTGGCTTGTAGTATCTCACACTTCACCACCTGCTCCAACAGGAGGCGACGCAGACGCCAGTAGAAGAAGGTCCGCACATTCTTCCAGTCCAAGATGTCCTGTTAGAGATGTCAGAGAGCACAGTTAAAGAATTTATAACAGCTTGAGTCCTACGTAAACACCAATTTGTTTTTGGCAACTGATGTTACACACACACTGCCAGTCACAACACCAGACTGTTTATGAAGCACACACTCACAGTGATGACACCCTTCTCCTGCATCCTGCCTGGAGTGTCATGGAGGTCTACAAACTGCACTGCCACCTGGTGGTAGATGGGCGACAGGAACTCCTCTCTTGCTTTGAGCTTTGCTTCCAGCTCTCTGCACTGTTTGTCAGACAGCTCTGGGGAAGCTGATTAAAACAGAAGAACTTGAAGTCACTCAAAGGTTACAAAGATGCCAGCGATGCTTCGATAATGAAGGAAAACACAAAAATTCAAGTGGCTCTGTGATTTGACAGAGAAGGTTACCGAGCTGCTCAGCCAGGCCAGCATAGACTGAATCTAGTCGCCTCATGGTCTTCAGCAGGTCTTTCCTCCTGAATTTGATCTCGACTGTACCTTCAGGCTCCAGCACACCACCTCTGGAAAGAGAAAGAAAACCAGGACAGATACATGAACAGCTTGCAATCACACACTGTTTAGGTTGGAATCACAATTTTCTAAATGTAAGAAAGCATCACTGCTTCAGGTACCTGCTCTCCCTGTCAGCATAGAGCTCCATACACAGGGGGTTGATGGTGGGATCTATCACCACCCAGGACCCTCCTCTCAACTCAGCATGTGGGGGAATGTACACCAGCACTGGCTGCCGGAAACCGTGCAGGGCATCCACAATGTAGGCACCGAACTTTAATATCTGATCATACATATCTGGGACAGAAATGGACAAAAAAAAGTTGGTATTTTAGTAAATACAACCGTCTCAAACAAGCCAGGATTGTAAGCATTTGGGCAGATACACATTTCTTGTTTGTTCATTTGTTCTTCGTCAGGTTGAGATGAAATAATGGATATTCCAAGTCTCAGCCTAAATTTGAGCAGGTTAATGTCAATATTGAAAGTCCTGTGGATAAGGTCAAGAGGGAAAACCCCCTTACAGCACATCAAAAATTAGTTTTCTTGCCAACACTAAAGAGAAACCTTTTTGACCATAAATATAAAAGTTTCTCGTTAGAATGAAAAACCAGATTGAAGGTCACAAACGCATCCATAGAGCAGCCGACAGTTCTGGAACAAACCTCCAAAAATCAACCTATATCAAAACAAAAGACTGAGTGTGGAGGAAAGAAAAGAACATCTCATCAGCCAGAGCAACCAAAGACCTTTTCAGGGTGAAGAGGAGGAATATTTTTGACTGGTCGAGTCAATCAGCTGAACTCAATTTGAGTGAACTTATTCTATTTGCTGATGACCCGACCCACAACAATAAGAGCTGAAGGCTCAGCAGAACACCATCAGAGAAGTTTTAAGATATCTGCTGCAAATGAATATGAGAATTTTGTCTGACTTTATGTGTATATGTTCAACTACTTTTGAACCCCGAAAACATTTGACATTATGTCTTGATAGGGATACATCACCTACACAGTTACTTCTATATTAATGCAAATCTACTCAAATTAAACCTCAAACTTGACACTGTAATGCTGCATCGCTTATTTTACTTTAAATAGAATGAACAAAGAACAAGAAATGTGCAACTGTCCCAACACTTACAGTCTGAACTGTATGTTGTGCAGTGTCTTTACAAAGTTTAGTATTCATCCCATACCCTTCATTCCCCCAGAGAAGCCCCTCCAGTTGGCAAACACCATGAGAGGCAGGCGTTCACGGTTGAAGTCACAAATTGCCTGAGCTGTTTTAAAAGCTGAATCCGGAAACCACACCTGGCCCGCCTGCTGCAGAACCTGACAGAAATGCACAAAAACAAGGGCAGAGATGAAATGCTCTTCTAATTATAACCACAGCTTCTTATACGACACAAACCCACAGAGAGATTTACTCACTTTAGATTCTGAATCCAGGTTTGCTGGATCTGCTGGGACAGTGAATTCAACTGTGCGTGTTTCAACAGCAATGACACCGAGGGGGATTCCTCCTAACCTGTATTTATTCACCAGTAGTAATGTGAATGGATTTAAGCATTAATAAGCATTTGACATACATATAGAGTATTTTTGAAGTGTGCAGATTGAATGTAAGCAGATTTACCGTGCTCTGCCCACGACCACTGTCTGAGCCCAAGACTCC